AAAAAATGTATCATGTAATTCATCATAAGTCATATTTTCATTTACCTTTTTCGAAGGAATTGTTGATAGCCATCAAACATAGGGTTACCTCTTAATTAAAAGACTCTATGGTTTTTGACATTGCTATCATAGTTTTCTCAAGTAACTTTTAATGCTTCATTGCACTTTTTTTTTGTGTGATTGTTTCCTATTTTATTTAAGGAGCACTCAAACATTGAATAGCTAGGCCTGTTGCACTAGAAGTATGTTAGGGATTATCTGTTCACCTACAAAATCAATCTTTTATTTATTTTTCAATTTAGGACTTTTTTGCTAAAATTTGGTTCTTATACAAAATTTTCTTGAGCGTCTTTCTAAGTTGACATAATTGCAATGCCATGATATTAGTGTCACTCTCTTAAGGTGATGAATCAATATCATTTAAATCACATTATTTGAGAGCCCCAATCTACATCTTCTTAATCATATTATCTTCCTGATCTTCTAGTGAGCTAATTTTCTACTTATGTGCTATTAGAGAATCATGCAAATAATCAATAGTATAAGAATTGAAATTGCTAGCCTTAGAAATTGTTATTACCTTTGGATCTCACTCTTATCTTAAAAGAATATATATTCTAATTATCTATTCACCATTTGTGTGATCTTTGCCAATTGCGCTAAGTCTATTAATGTTCTTCATAAACCTTCCAAACATTTTTGTGATGATCTCTCCAAGTATCAGCATGAATAGTTGGTCTTCCTACATTAAAATGTTAATCCTTATTTTTTCTTACCTTGTTCTTCCCTATATATGTGATGGCCAACTTATCCCATATCTTTTTTCTTTCTCAAGTTACATATTCTTATATAATCATCATAGTTTAAAGGACAATTTAAGACGTTAACTCCCATACCATTAAGAAGTTCTAATTCTAACTCCATGGATGTCCACTCTTTTATGAGTTTTAAAATCTCTTTCCCATCTATGGTGATTGCAGGGGGCCTTACACCCTTTCAATATTAGATTCCAAATCCTTATATAACATGATTGAAGATACATCACCATTCTACTTCTTAAAAGTCAAAGAATTTGCCAAAAAAAATGTGGTTTGGATATGGAGTACCCTTCATTAATCTTATCCTCAGTATGATCTAAAGACATTTTTGAAAAATGTACAAACCCTAAAGATTACTTTCAAATGAAAGTGAAAATATATCGTGCCTTTGATACTAATAATAGATTTTATGTATGGCTAAGTATCTGTTTGAGATAGCTACAGCTTTTTAGAAAAAAGATTGCAAAACAGTTGTGAAAAAAATAGCTTTTTTGAAAGTTGTTGTAGAGAGAAGCTTCTTAGCATAAAAATTTATTGAAAATACTAAAAAAATAACGACCAAACAAAAATTATGATTGTAGTGAGAAAGTTGCCCCAAATGATGCCTCAGAGGGGACATAAATTAGGTTTCTAAAAAATTCTATAGGTTTTCACAGGATAAGCTAACGTAATGAAAAACAATAGTTTAAAAATTAATAAAAATATTGAAAAAAAAAAACAGCAAAGATAATCAATCATTCAAACACATAACTTTTATGTGATTCAACTGCAACCTACATCCATTCCAAGATGCACATCACACTTATGATTTTATACATAACCTCCACTAAAAAATACATTGCCCCTTCATTAGGCAAAGAAGCATTTACACTAATTTTCTCTCTGAAACAATCTCCCTTTCACCTTGTTGGGCACAGTCATCACTTTTAGGTGATATCCTCCAAAACACTTAACTAAAGTATAAGTAAAATCTACAAAAATAAAATAAAATGAAGATAAGAGCAATCTTACCCATAGATTCACTTTTGGGTGAAGAGATGAAGCTCATTAGCTTCAAAAATATCTAAGCTCTTTTCTTAGAAAGGTAAGTGAGTATTTCCTCTCCAAAGGTTGCTAAAATCACAGAGGGTTTTTTATAAGGGAATAGGGCTTAGTGGTTTAAGTTGTGATGGTGGCTCCAAGATTTTATAAAAATATTTTCCTTAGATCAAACGCAAACTATGATACATATACTAAGGTGCTAGGGTTTCACAATAAATATTAAAAATTGTTTAATATTGAAATCCCATATTATGCCCAACTATTAATGTTTAAAATTGGCCAATTTATAAACTTGATTTAGCTCCAAATAAGTATATATGTGACATTATTTATTACCAAAATCAATATTAGCTAAGGCTCATTATACTTTTTTAGACCCCTCAAATACTTTGTGGATGCCAACACAAGTTCTCGGAGTCTAACAATAACAAAATTTTCAATATCTCAAACTAGGGGTATAAGTGAGCTGAGCCGGCTCGCAAGTCGAGCTTATCGAGCAACAAGTTCAAGCTCGAGCTCAAGCCTGACTCGGCTCGAAAGCTAATTGATCCACCCTATTAAATTAAAATATATTTAATAATTAATTTAAATTAAAATTTTATCATATATTTTAATAATTTTAAATTAATTCTATATTAAAAAATAAAAATTCTAAAAGAAATTGATTTTTTTTAATTTAAAATTATGAAATCGAGCTTACCAAACCAGTCGAGCTTGAGCTTAGTAAACGAGTCAAGCTTAGCTTAATTAGGCAAAACTCGACTTGACTCAACTCGTTTATACCCATGTCTCAAACCTTTGTATCTTTACAATAGTGAATACTAAAATTTTCAACTACCTCTAGTAATATTTTGAATAATTTTAGATATGACAGTAAATGCTTTAATAATATTTGCATAGAAGAATACTTAGGCTTTTAGGCTTTATCTGGGACAGCTTTCTTACTATTTTTTAAAGTAATTTTTTTATTAAAACTCATCGATAATTTTTAATAAAAAAATTGCTTTAAAAAATAGTAAGAAAAATGTTCCAAATGAAACCTTAAAACTGGTTCTTCATGTGCTTAGAGTCATGTGCAAATTTAATTGAAATTATTATTCTTTGTTATCATTAAAATACCAAACGCTCTTAGGCTCAAAAGGTCAGCATCAGTCGACATTCCATTAATTATTATTTTCTGGCATAAAGGCCAATTATCATTTCTATCATTTGGTATTTTACTATCAAATCTGCTCTCTCCTCCATTACAAAGGTTGTGATGCATTCCTTTAAAAGACTGTTGCGTCATAAATGAGATCAAGATAAAAATTTTAAAAGAGATTATTGTGGATAAAGAGAGGAAATTTTTAGACAAAGACTAAGGAACAATTATTAAATCCTCTGACCGGACGTAGAGCTATGTTCGGCCACCAATAACATGTCGCCACGTGCTTTTACTCTTTATCGCGCGACCCGACGACTTGACCCAGACCGGAACCCGGGAATGCTATGTTCGCGTATTGCGAGGTATTACTCGGTATTTGCTCGGTATTGCTTGACAATAACGAGAAATACCGCTCTGTGAAGACCAATATCGAGTAATACCGAGCAATACCGAGTTGTGCCGAGTTTTTCTAGAAAAACTCAGTACAACTCGGTATTGCTCTCGGTATTAGTTATTGCCGAGCAAAATCAACCAATACCTAGCAATACCAAGCAAAATCGAGAAATACCGAGCCATCCTGGGTCCGTTCCGGGTCGGGTTGTCGAGGCGCGATTCTACGGGCGGCCGAACGTAGAACTACGTCCTGTGATCTGACCAAATAAAAGTTCAAGACTAAGGCTTCATTTGAGACGATTTTTGTATTACTTCTTAAAATGAAATTTTAGTAGAAAATTTTTAATTTTTATATTAAAACTCCATTTTAAGAAGCAATAAAAAAACTGTCCCAAACGAAATCTAAGACTTCGATTGGTACAACTTTCCTACTAATTTTTAAAGCATTTTTTAATACAAAAATTTCTTAAACAAAAAAATTTATACTAAAAAACTGTTTTAAAAAGAAACAAAAAAACTGTCCAAAATAAAACCCAATATGACCAGCAAAATTACAATGTGGTCTTCAAAGAGAAGGTTACAGCACAAGAGAAATTTTGATGCAAGTCTTAAGAGGGGTGAATGCAAAAAATATGGGTTTGCAGCATAAGCTGCAAAAAAGACGGTTGTAATGCAAGTAAGATCACAATGTAAGTCATAAAAGAGAACTACATTACAAACAAATGAGGCTAAGATGAATGCCTAAAAGAAAATGATTGCACTGCAAATAAGCTCACTTCAAAATCATCATCATTTCTCAATCATTATCGATTCTAGATCATTTAATTTTTTAATTATTACTTAAGAACAAATTGAACTCTTATGCTTTATTTGGGATAGCATCCTTATTGCTTTCAAAAACGATATTTTAGCACAAAATTTTTTGAACTATAAAATTTTATACTGAAATGTTGTTTTAAAAAACAGTAAGAAAGTTATCTCAAACGATGCCTTAATCATTACTCCTAACCTGCTTTGATAATTGTGCACTTCACCAAAAAAGCAATCTAAAGTGATTTTCTTATCATAGCATCAATCATAATTTTCATTTCAATCACCTAAAAATAAATCATAATACATCTATCAATATCAGCATAAAAAGGTTAGAATAACTCCAATGAAAGATAAGATTAGAAAGAGTCATCTTAGATGATTTGGTCACATAAAACGGTGGCCTTCCGATGACCCGATTAGGAAAGTAGATGTATTAGATTTGACTTATATTAAGAAGAGTAGAGGTAAGCCTAAAAAGACTTAGAAAATTATTAGAACTGTCATTTCTTTATTAGATTTAAATAAGAATTTAAATTTTAACAAGACAATCGAGAAAAAGGTTCATGTAGTCAACTCCATATAGTGCGATAAATATTTGATGTTGTTGTACCGTTGTCTCCTGGTCTCCTCTGCCTCTTGGAGGATGACTGATGTTTTGTTGGGTTTTCATACATAGAATTTTTAACAAATCCATCTTTTAATCTGTTTGATATATGTAATAAAATATTTTATAGTCTTTATGCCATCTTAAACATGAGATTATATAATTATAGAGCAATTATTTCATGCAATTTTTGAATTTTACAGAGCATAGCACTATTAAATAGCTCAAAAACTCCCTGAGTTCCTCAGCCTGATAACAGAATGTAGACATATTAAAGGTTTGAGCTACAAATTACACTTTTGTGTATACATCTACTGAAGCCATCAGGTCATACAATAAACTAATTGCCAAAAAGAGTACAGTATATTTACCTGGAAAGATTTTCTGCATTCTGGTGCTTGGGATTCAAACCAGAGCCAATTCAATACCAGTATTTTGAGAAATTATTATGTGTGGATATCGGATGGTCCGGAGGTCAATCAGAACGCGCCACATCACCCGGTACCTAGCAACGGCACTGAGCAAAAAAATAAAACATGGCGCATTCTGGTTGGCCTCCGGATGATGTCCGATGTCTGCACAAAATAATTTATCCCAGTATTTGTCATATAGATTAGTGGAAGAACCGACGCCGGCAACGTGTAGACCCGAGCTCTTCATATTCCGACTTGGATATACACATTGATTCAAAATCAGGGCTAGATGCCAATAATGATCCACCTCTCCACACGCCTTTAATGGGACTACAAAAAAAAAAAATCAAAAGAAAGATGAATAACTACCTACAAAAGAGAAAAAAGAGGAGGGTAAGCGTGAGAAGTCTGCAAGCTCACTCTTCCTGGCTAGTTATCTTCACTCGATAGTCATCTCGTACCAGTGGTCGCAACTCCCTCTCTCTACAAGATTTCATAAAAGAGTTTAAACCATGCTGCATTCATATGTACTTACAAGACAAATTACAATGATAATCATCTTACAGCCTTGCTGCAAATCGAGGAAACAATGTGCTTCCACCAGTCAGGACAATGCTGCAAAAAAGATCTCAAGTTATTCAAAGAAAAACAATAAGAAGAGAAGATATTCTGAAATTGACATCAGTAGACAATAAGCATTACCTCTCAAAGAGTACAGGATGAAGATATGGATGGCATGCATGAACAGACCTGACGATACATTCAGCTAGTCCAGCTTGATTCATACCTGTGGAGAAGGATAAGGCATTGCTCATAAGATCATGAAATTTAAGATGAAAGGTAAATCCTTATAGTCATCTTGAATAAGCAGACACAGAAGGGTAATTCTCATATCATATGCTAACCTATGAAGTACTCAATCATTCAAATTAATTAGCTAAGTTAATCCCAACAAATCGTACAAAATGTATCAAATTCGGCCAATACCAAAAACAAGGAGCTTGGATATTACACAGGGTTTCCTTGCACTTGTGGGTCACAGTTTTCTGTGATAACCTTTAATGCTGTGACGTGCTCAATGGAATTTTCATAGGTCAAAAGATATCAGAAGAATAATATAAAATGAAAAAGGCCAAAAAACATAGGAAAATAAAACAAAATAAATCAACACTTTCATTCTTGAAGCAGGTTCCTTGAGCATGAACTTCAAAACTTGTTCTAATGTAGTGTATACAGAAAATAATAAATCCTAACAATATAAGCAAAATATATTTGCATGAATTGAAATATGAAATTGGTGTTATAGCACATTGGATACGTGAAAAAGTATGTCGGTGTATAAATATCGAATGATTGCCCTGCACCCATAAACTTAGCTTTTTGGTCAAAAATGGGGTTCGACCACCGGTACACCAAACCCAACCTCCTTTTTGTTCCAACTCACAAGTAATATCAAAGTTGTCAATTCGGATAAGATTAAGTTGTTCATACCGTCTGTGGTTCCCACGAAAATTGTTACCTAAGTCAAAGCAAAGTTCAAGAGTAATCAACAATGTTGATTCCAAAGTAGAGGCTAGTGCTGGTTTCATCAAGTATGCAGCGGGTGGTATTAACGTCAGGTGACGAGGTCATTTTCGAGGCATCGAGGACTTATGATGGGAGAAAAGGGAGTTTTGGGGTGTTGTAAGTCTCGACCAAGGTCTGGTTGAGCTGAAAAGAAAGGTTTGAAAAGGGAAATCAAGGGGTACAATTCAAAATGGATAGAGAGAGGACAAGAGAGATTTAAAGGAAGACAATATTTAAAGGCAAATATTTGTATTCATGTACCAACTCTAAAACTAGTGGCATAGTCGTTTTGTGCAACAATTGATTTAAGTAAATCTTTCACGAATTGATTATGCTATTGTGGGCTCCGAAAATTCGGCCCCAGCCTCCGCCCGCTTTGCTTCTTTTTTTTCCCGAGGGGAGTTTTAATGGAATTAAGTTCCGGGGTAAATTTTGGGAGGCAGATAGGTTTGTAGATAATACACTACCCAGATATTTCTCCCTCATTTTGTGAGGACTTTATGATCTGAGTTATGGTTTCCTATAGGCGCAAGCCCCTATAGTTAATTACCCCTCCCGATAATGAGAGAGAACTTTTGATTAAGGCTAGTCGTCAATCAGATACATATAAATACATGTTATCTGGCATATAGTAGCAGCATATAGATATTTGTAATGGTTGGAGAATTTGGGAATTTGGAATTTTGAAGGTTTTATATTTGAAATTGAAAATTTCACCATCTTTCTTTTAAAGCGGATGGTGGGGGAATGGATGATGGACCCAATCAAAATCTCATGGTTCCGTCGTCCTAGGCCATCATGGTCCATAGTCTACTTAGTCAGAGGATGTAGTCGACCCAACCTAACAAAATGATCCTTGTTAGCAAACATGGGTTGATTCGTCCAAGGATACCTTGTAGACTTGGGGTAAGTATTTGCATAAGGGGACAAATTTAAATCCACCTTAGCTAACAGAGGGCTTTGTGCCCTATCGATTATATTCTATTGATTCATATCTCAAAGATTTGATGTCACTATGGAACATATTGGCTCTGCCCATAACCGCTATTTAGTGGTGTCATTTGACGGCAAAATCACTTCGTTCAAAGGGCCCCGAGTCATAACCGTTTATCCTGCGGTATCATTTAACGGCAAAATCGTCTGTCATAGGAGATGTATTACGTCCTTATTGATAGGAGATTGTTTGACAATGGATCTTAATGATATTTTCGACTAGGCATTAGCTCTATGTGAGCTGAAGTATATTTCAATTTGTCCACTCCGGCAAACTATTGCGGGGGTGGATGAATTTTGCTTCAAGTGTTTGATAGTGGAATTTCAAATTTTAAATACCTTTGATTCTTGGGATTTTAGAATTTGAATTTTATGGCCTTTTGGATATTTGGAACACTACTGTTGCTAGGTCCCAAGTCCTGGATGAGAAAAGTGGAGGGTTGCGTTAGGTAGTCGACAGCCAGCGTAAAACATGTCAAATAATAATGTTATGAATCCTTTAAGAAATTGTGTTAATGCTAGGGCGTCCCGTGGAAGCGCGTGCTGTATGACCTGAATACAGTGACAAGTGTGCAAGGGCCGCTGCACCGGCGCCCGGGTGCAGTGTTAAATAGGCAAGGGTTACCACATCAAGGACGGATGTGGGCAAAAAAGATAGTTCATAAAACTAAAATTAGGATAGAAATTTGGAATATAGGTTCCATTGCTGAAAAATTAATAGAATTATTAGATATTATGATTCATAGGAAGATAAATATTTTGTGCAATCAGAAAACTAAATGGGTTGGAGAGAAGGCTAAGGAAATTGATAGTTTAAGATTTAAACTTTGGTATTCATGTAGGAGTCGTACTAGAAATGTTGTAGGTATTATTATAGATAAGAGTTTGAAAGGTAATATTATAAAAATTAATATGATTGGAAATAGAATTATAGCTTTAAAAATTGTTGTTGATGATAAGATTGTTAATATTATAAGTGCTTATGCTCCTCAAGTAGGTTTGGATATGAGCTCTAAATTAAATTTTTAGAAAGATTTAGAAGAATTATTACAAAAGATACCTCTACAAGAAAGAGTTTTTATTGGAGGAGATTTAAATGGACATGTTGGTAGAGAGGTAGATGATTTTAAAAGCATTCATGATGACTATGATTTTGGAACAACAAATGAAGGTTACAAGACTATTTTAAATTTTTGTTTAGCTTATGAATTTTCAATTGCTAATACCTTATTTAAGAAAAGGAATGAGCATCTCATAACTTATAAAAATGGATATAGTATAACCCATATTAACTATTTTCTTATAAGAAAATTAGATCGGTTAGATTGCAAAGATTGTAAAGTTATTTTGAGTGAAAATTTATGTACCTAACATCGATTATTAATTTTGGACTTTAAGATTAAGGGGCAGATAATAAAATAAAGTAAAACGATATTCTAGGATTAGATGGGGGCATTTAAAGAATATTAAAAAAAATATTTTTGAGAGTAAGATTTTAGATCTTAAAATTTTATCTATGCATGAGGATGCTAATGTTATGTGGGAAAAAGTGGCTAGTGATATTAAGAATATTGACATCATATGAACCGGCGGTCTTAAACCACCAATTGAATAAGTGATTTTTTTCGCCAGCGGTCCAGCACGCCGGAACAATCCACGCCGGTAAAAGCCCTAATACGAGTCGCCTCGCTCCGCTCATTTCATTTTCACTCTTTCCTTCTCTTCCTCTCGGTCGCTCGCTGTACCGTGTCCTCCGCTCGTCCGATCAGCCCCCGACGAAGGAACTCCGCGCCGCCGACCCCAGTCCGACCGCCGCCGACCCCAGTCCGACGCCCGCCGAGAGTCTACTCCGACGCCCGACCGCCGACCGATTCCGACCTCAAACAATTCGATTTCTATTTTAAGGTTATTTTTTATGGTTTTTCTTTGATTATTTGGTGCTACTCCATGTTATAATTATTTTTTTAGTTAATGTTTCATACTTTAAAAATGTGGGAGAGAGTTATGGAGCATAGGTTTTAGGTGTGATACTAATGTTTCTCAAATCAATTTGGATTAATGCTTGGTAGGTTTACAATGGAAGTCATTACATTTTTTTGAGAGGTTTGATGGAGAAATATAATGAGAATAAGGAGGATCTATATATGATATTTATCTATTTAGAGAAAAACATATGTTAATATTCAAGAGAAGTGCTATGGAGGGTTTCTTAAGAAGAAAGGAGTTAATAATGCTTATATTTAAATCATTATTGATATGTATGTAGGAGCTATTACTTGTGTTCAAATACATGGTGGTTTGATCAAGTATTTTCCTATTTCGGTTGGATTAATATCAAGGATCAGCAAGAAGTCCATATCTTTTTTGCTTTACTCATAGATGTTCTCACTAGACATTTGTGAAGAGGATGTACCTTGGTGTATGCTTTTACTGAATGATATTCTTCATGTTGATAAGACTAGAAAGGGAGTTGAAGGAAAAACATGAATTATGAGGTCAACTATAAAGTTTATAAGGTTTTCGCTTCAATAGATCTATAACTGAATATATGATGTGTACTTTTAGTTGTAATAGACCTTGTGAGGGATTATGCATTGGGTGATCAAGACATTAATAAGAGTTGACTTGGTCAAATTGACCAAGTCGAACACCAAGACCCCTCTCCAATGGGTTCAGAGAGTCGAGTCGAGTCTGCTGGGCCTAGACTTGTACCCTGGGTCAAACCCGATTGACAAGTCCAACTAGGGTTGACCACCTTGCCCTCCTTTAGGCCCCAAATCAAATCTATGCGTTTATTTTATTTAAATGCAACATATGGATAAGCTTTTGTTCTTTTAGAGCATGATTAAGTCCTTCAAAGCATAAAAATCTATTTGGATGTATAACAGATTGTTTATGCCTCCAACATGTAGGGGTACGTTTACTTCAACGTGCAAATGACTATCTAAGAAGAGAGATATTGGATGTATAACAGATTATTGCCGGTCGAAAAGGATTGACAGTTGAATTTATAGAGGGTAGTTGAAACTTTCATTCAAGTTGCATCTCAACTGCCTTCCTTTCAGTTGATAAAATGTTTAGATGTCCGTGTTCGAAGCATAAAAATCTTAGCATTCCTAAAGCCCGATGATGTGAAGCTTGATTTTATATCTTAGGGGATTTCTTCCAAACTATTGGATTTGGACATCACATGGCGAGTACGAGCCACATAGAGATGCTCATGCCGGT